TTCAACGCATTGAACAAATGTAGTAAACGTATGAAAAATGTTACTAACGAGCAAAAGAAATCTAAACATTTTGAAGTTGTAAAAGAAACATAAAAGGTGAAATTGTGATAACACATGAAAGCAGACAGTCTGTGTTCATTGCCGCCGAATGTGCGGGCTTAGCCGATAAACATCCCGAGGGCCCTAGGCGTCTATGTATAGGTTGTCTTAGGGCAGGCACGGCGCGTCGGCGCGCCCGGCGGCCGCCAACAGCCTGCCATTTGTTAACTTTTTGTGTATTTGGCTATAGGGTTGACCAAATGATCTAGAGTTGGTGGTTAAGGAAATAATACTGACAAGGCAGCAGCCGTATGTTTTCTATTTTCTACCTCCCAATAACCCAAAATCTATATTATATAAAACTCAAAGGTGACTGACTGACATAGTGATCTATCAACGCACAGCCCAAACCACTGGACCGATCGGGCTGAAATTTGGCATGCAGGAAGATGTTATGACGTAGGCATCCGCTAAGAAAGGATTTTGATCAATTCTACCCCCAAGGGGATAAAATAGGGAATGAAAGTTTGTATGAAACTTTGTCAATTTCAAACCGATCGGGCTGAGACTTTGCATGCAGGTATAAGAAGAATCATAGATGAATGTCATTGTGTATAATACAAGCCTGAGAACAAAAACTGTAGTCTACACTTCAGCTCTACAATGAAGCGAAGCGCGGGCGGGCCACTAGTCAAACATAAAATTCAGTTATTGTGTTAGAACTTCAATATGAGAATTAAGAATACACATAAATAAGAAAAAATATAGCAAAGCAGACGAAGATAAATATTAACAAATACGTACTTTTAAATAAGATTCAGGTCGATTTAGAGACGTTTGTATTCCTCGATTGAAATATTACTTTACAGGTAGCGCAATAAGTTAAGAGCTTTTAAGAATCAGCGCCAAGATGATAAATTACACGCCATTTCTAGGATAAATCAACCCGAATAGGGTTTGAATCCGAAGATGTCGACGGATACCAGATAATGTTCTAAGCATTTAGCTGAAGCCGCTGAAGGAGAAGAAAATCCATTAAAGACACAACCCTGAAGCCTGATTGTGTGGGAGGAGGCAATCGTTGAATAAAATGTAATGGCGTGTGTGTGGTTTCGAATACAAATAAAATCTCTGTTGTGTTGTGTGCGTGCCGCCGGTTCATTGTCAAGGCCAACTGCCAAATCTCCCGCTCGAGCCCCCTCACTCCCACCTCAGTCCACTCATTGTCAATTATACACCAATCTACTAAAGCTTCAGTTAGGTTCGCAGTATATTGCTCCGGCTGCATAGCCTTCACCGAGTCTGCTTTAAACCGAGCAGCAATATACGCACTGCAACTTATTGTACCACCATTTTGAATGAGGGCCGTTGTGTGTGCGAGTGGTAGCCGCCGACACGATAATCGAGTATTTTTAACGTTGCATATCGCATTCCGCTTGGTTTTTTATCAACAATGTGCTTGTGTGAAATCAGATAGAATAAAAAGAGCTCATGCAGCCGACCTAGACCAACATGAAATTAACAAAAAAAATAGTCATTTAACTGTACTCATACCCAGAATTAGTGTAGGTGGAGCAGTTGTGGGTGTAAATTGTAAGCGAAAACAGGTTTTTACGTTTATCCAAATTTGAACAAAGGTGTAAAGTCAATATAATTAATAATATTTAGTTTTACATGATCAAAAACAAGTTTTGTTGTTTACAAATACAAATCTGTTTTTTTTAATAACAATTGATTAACCACTCTAATATAATACTACAATATTTACTTGTATATCAGCCAAACATTAGAAATCGTATGACTTTATTACTAAACTAGATACCATGTTATCGATTCTATAATTAATTGCAATGTGAGTTACTACATTCATTACTTTGTACAACACGACATAATTATGTATTTCTTTATTCTTCACTTAGTGCCGAGTTTAAAGCACTTCATCCCTTTCTAATTTCAGCATTTTATGTGATGTGACATTTTAATAAAACTTAGAATTCTAATTAAAAGGTAATAAAAAGTTTACAAAAATCGTTTAGGTGTTATGTTAAACAATTATATAATGTTTAAGTAATGGATAAGCTTATTATAAATATTTTTTGCTCAATTGCTCATACAAATAATTGTGATAGCGGAAGTAAATAAAGCAAATAAATTTTCATGTTATCAAATACAGGCGCCTTACCCATGACCACTCGGTCTTTTAACCTTATACTGATCAGATGTAGATAAATCGACACAAAATATTTGCTACATCGAAGTAGGCAAGAAACTACAACAAATTAATGTGTACAGATTGAAAATACAGAAATAAGTAACTTTTTAATTTTAATACTCAATACAAAAGAATTTTATTACAACATGTGACCATGTAAATCTAAAATAACGAGCAAACCGTGACATATATATTTCTTTTATTGCAGTAGTGTAAATTTTATTACAGAAGACCATAGATATGCTTACTAAACTAACAATAAACTTCTTTAAAAACAACGAATTTTACTTTATAACGCTAAGATGCAATTTAATAATAAAACATTAAAGACAGGAAAATACTTGTAAATGGATGAACATCAGATAATTTAAAGGAATATCCAGAGAAAATAAATAAAGATACTACTTTACCTGACGCAATTGGATAGCAAGATAAAGAAATGCGTCAGATTCTTACGATTGTTGTATTAAAATTAAAACTTTAACATAATATGTGCTTTACGCCATTGTTATAAGAGTATCTGACTAACAAACGTGTATATTTATGTAGTGGTAGTTGTCTGTACCATAATAAAAGCTCGTTACATAAAAATATATGTCAGTGGGAAATATAGTGCAACACGGAAAGATTTGGAGTATGCAGATAACGTCCAGTCAAGGCCGTCTCGTAACATGCATAATCATATGAATCGCACATTGAGTTTTGCAGTCTCGATTAGATAGAAGCATTAACTCTACTAAAACCCAAACAAAACATTCCCAATTTCTTATTGCTGCATTTTTTACAATCAATTTCAATTCAAGAAAGTAAATTTCTGAAATAAAGCAAATAAATTAAGATTTAAAGCTATAATTTAAGAAACTAAAGCAAACCGTAAAGAATTATTTTGGAATTATATAATAAGTTAGTTTATATGCATTGTCCGGATTAAGAGGACTGATATAAATTCATAATATAAAATGAGGTCAACTTATCAACCTTATTAAGTAAAAATCGTACATCCATACATCTTGCAGAATAACATCTCACATGACGTACTTATAAAGATATGTTGAAGTTATCATACCTAACAGTAGTTTAAATAAAAAAAATGAATACTTCTGTGTCTATATGCCAATCCAGGAAAATTGACAACACTAGGATAAAACAGGAGCGTTAATTTACTGAAATGCAATTTTACGATGTTAGTGCCGTTTCTGAGAAGACTTTCTAGTTAATTAAAATCTATAATTTAATGGTGATCTTCCACTATGTTCATAATTATAGACCATGCAGGGTTTTACTAACTGTTTAACAAAGAAAAAGCTGCCTTCAAAAGCTTCAAGACAGACAATAATATAATACAGACATAGATGATAAGATTAGAAAGAATATCATAAAAGTATATTTACAACAACCTGAAAAATTGAATTGCATTTATTAGAGGATGATTCAACGAAGAAATGAAATCATCTAAAAAGCAAACTTTTTAAGACTCTTACACTAATAATAGCAGATACTCATGATATCACCCACCCAATACCAATTCCTATAAGTTTTAATCTTTTCAGGATCCCTTTCATTTTATGTTTGGGAAATAGATCAGCTTGCCCATTTGGGACTTGTTTTAGCAATTTTTTATCATGAAGTTTACAAAATACATTCCAAAAATAACCTTAATTTAGAAATTACCAACTATTGAGAATGACGGGACATGAGTATTTAGACTACGATTACCTTGAAAATGGCGCATTTAGACTTAACTTCATCCGAATGTCGGTTATATTTACAATTAATTAATTCTATTCACAATATACTCAATCATTATAGATTAATCTTTATTTTTACAGGTAATTGGTTTTCTTCAAATAGAACTTCACATTTAGGGTGCCTAACCAAATTTGCTAGAAAATTTTAATTTTATTTATAGATATATTTCAAAATTTTCTTTCCCAACTTAGGTCGAAAAAAACTTCTTATATATACTAAAGTAGAAATTATCAACTCCGTACAAGCTTAGGTAAGATTCATAGAATCGTACATGAATGTAAAGAAGAAACCTTTAACGTATAATCACATTCGTTGTAATTTGATAGTTTTTGGAGTTCTCCAAAGATCGTCCAGCTAAGATTTCAGAGTCTGCGTGTGTGCGTGCGGCAAACTGCCGTTAGAATCAAGCTAGAGACACATATACTCTGCGGCCTACGATCGATCACGCCTTCTTGAGGCAGGTCGTGGACAATCCACCAATACGTAGTGCCATTATCATCTCATATTTCTACAACCACACAGCCTGCTCATAATGAACTTCTTTATCTTAATCCGGCTTCTTGAATAACATTATGTTTAATCTAACGATTGTTCATGAAATGAATGCTTAATTAAAATCTGATTTAAAAATACATTGCAAAATATACAGGTTCCTTATGTGCGTAAGATAGACCTCGTTTTGTTTACTAAATCATTATTATTTTTTTGGAATATGGCTACAATACAAATTTGAATTATAAGGTTTTTTTAAAACTTGATATTAAAATGTTTTTATGGTTCAATTGACCACTGTATATCCACAATAAACAACGTTTATTTTGCTTGTTCAGAGCAGAGGAAATATAAAATACTTCTGATAAGTTTTGGCAATAAAGACTGGTGTTGTTGATAAAATGTTAGGATAGGTCAAGGCAAAACATTTCGGCAAATAAATATTGTTCTGGAGCTTACAGAATTCTGAGGGAATTTCCAAAATATTAACAAGATAAAAACTACGCACCACCTCGTCCATATCCATCCAATCCATGTCGGCTTTGGAGTGTGTTAAGTTAGCTCGAGTCTGTGTCTAGGTTCCGCGCGAAAGTACTGCGCGTCGCGACGATCAGTACACGAGTGCAGCGTCGTGTCGTGTATATGTTGCACCGAAAATTCGTTCCCGCACCACGTTCCCCGCCCCGCGTCGCACCCCCGAGCTCGCAAAAATTTCAAATACCGAATCGCGCAGCGCCATCTATGGCCTGACGGGGGTCTTTCCCGGCGTGCGTGGCCTTGAACTTGACTAGTCGTCGTCGCGAGCACCGCGGCGACCCACTTTTGCGACGCACCCCCCACTTCCCCCCACAGCAAACGCCGCGCATTGTCATGGTCGAACCACCTGAATGAAGCTAAGCACAACACAAGACACGTTTTCGCACTAGTTCTACGTAAACTCTCGATTTCCTTGGGCTATTAGTGACGGTGGATAATCGCGATAATGGCTGTTTATAGCGATTATTACGTTCTATACCAACGGTTTTAAAGACAAAATAGCTAGGATCATTCATTACACCAACGTACAGTCAAAGCATTTAAAAAAAGTAAGTTCATAACTAAACACATTAACAAATCAGTATTTTATGATAACCACTATTTATCTACTGGCTTTTGTTTCTCAACTTGGAGTAACACAAGGTTCATTTCTAAGCCCAGAATATTTTAGTACCAACTCATCAAAGTAAGACTATTTTTCAACAATAATGCAAATTCGTGCACTGTGATAGATTTAAGAATGGCATGATAAGGAAACACTGTAACACTGAAAGAAGATATTTTAAGAAAAAATGAAAGGCCCAAAAAACAAAAGGGTCACTAGGAGAAAGTGGATGAAAGTAGACTAATATTTTTGGAGCGAATGACCCTGGAAGCGTCCGTAAACTTTGTCAGCGCAGAACCTTTATCCCATTTTTACAAAACGTTAAATAATTGTCTGAAACTAATAAGTACGTTTATTATGATAAATCAAATTGGCCGAAGTGATGCTATTACCGCAAACGGTTAATCCTGTTTATAGTTGTGAATATACGAGTATTTAATTTTCTTATTTTGAATAAGTACCGGTATTTTGGTGACAAATTATGCAGTACGTCTATCAATATCGACATTTATTATTTTGTGATGAAATAGAGACAAAGCTTATAATTCGATAGCTTTAGCTGAAATGCTAAATTTATTTTATTCAAATCCAAAGAGTGAATTTACCTGATCTATCACAAGTTATACTGAGCTCCATCCGCGTAAGCCCTGATCTTTAGTGGTAAAACTCTCTCCGCCTTCACGTGACATCGCGGAAAATGGAGAAAAGGCAAAATAATAATAGTTTGGGGAAAAAGTCTTTTCGCATTAAGTATGACAGAGAGAGAGAGAGAGAAAAAATATATTAACCGTATTTTCAGAAATAATAAAACTATAAAAGTAATATAACGGTTAATCAGGACCAGGGTCCTGATCCTAGTCAACTTGAAGCAGGCCTCAGCATGAAGCAGTTGCCACACGTTATTAAACGACTGACAACAACACTGGTATTCTGGCAGGGCCTGTAAGGTGCGCTATTTAAATTACATTATTATAAGTATAAGAGGTATAACCTACGACAACATCTATATTAAAAAATATATACAGCATACTAATATAGATGTCGACTATAGATGTCGATTCCGGCAGGCATGCATAGCATGTATGAACTTGTAACAAAATCTCTTTGGCTATATCATTTGTATCTGGCTGGTTTTGGTAACATTGAGGTCTATGAGTGTAGCACAAATTTGGTTTAAGCGTTTTCAATCCGGAAAGGACAATGGCGAACTCCCATACAATTTTTTGTTGAAATTTTTTCTTGCGTCTATAAATGAATTGCATGTTAAATTATAGAGTTTACATTCTTGATTTGATTCATCTTATTTCTTATATTATAGGAAGTCCGGATTTATAGATATTGTACTTTGAAGTTTTGGAGGTTATGTCCTACCAAGTAATGCAAAAACGAATTATAAAAGTTTGTTTCAAGAGTATTTTTATATCAAAATAAAAAAATACTTGGAACGGAACTATAGAAGTACACCGGTCCTGAAGATTAGTGACGAAAAAAAAATGTTTTTTACAATGTATGATCAGTTGGCTTTCTTTCTTTCGTTCTTCGGCGTAGGTACTGACCAACCGCGTCAAAATACTTATTATCAGACAAGAGTTATAGAGTTCAAATACAATGTCTGTGCTGTAAGAAGTACTTAACAATTAGAAAATGCCCACTGCAATAATAAAGTATAAAAAAGGATTTCTAATAATGTACTAATGGGATATTAATTAAATATGCAACACTTTTTATATATTTTTTATTCCACATGGTTGATCACAATATCGTAGATAGTAGATATAATGAAATAAAATCCACAGTATAGGACAGAATCGTGTCCAAAATCCACAGCAAAATATCAGATTCGGAAGTCTTAGGCAAGCACTACTCAACAGTCGCAGAGAAAGATTTCGAAAGTCCAAATACAGTCCAAGCCACATAAAAAAACAAATCTCAGAAAAACACAATACGCCGATTGAAATCTTTGCAATATGCATGCACCTAAGCATAAACAATGTTAAATAATGATAACAATAACAACAACAATTCGATGACAAACATGACAGTGACAGTTGTAGTCTTTTTTTTCGTTAGAATTGTCGCCATACTCTTTTTGTATTGTGGAGATTATTTAATATGGTTTCAGTATAATATTGAAAAATAATGTTTCCCGATATTTTTGTTATATAATTAAATACAGTTCAGGCGTAAAGCAATGCAAAACATACGAACAACATATTTAAAGTTGATTTCATCACTAAAATCACTTAAAATGAATGGCTCAAAAGCCATCATGGCCAAGCCAGAATAAAAATAAAAAATAAATAGTCAATTGTGTTTCCCTTTTTTTAAGTTTTTAATTCCAGACTTAGACAACCCTCCTCAATTGTTTAATAAATCTTTTGAGATTATTTTATTAACATTTCTGATAATGACATCTATAGACGCTATAGATTTACTTCAACAAATATTTCGCCATTGTCCTTTTGATGTCAAAGATGCACGTCGGTCTGGTCGCCCTGTGACAGATAAAATTGATGCCATTTTTCAAAAAGTGAAGCAAGATCGTCAAATCTGTAGTTACGACGTAAGTGAAGAACTAGGAATAGACCAGAAAACAGTTTTGGCGCATTTGAAAAAGGCTGGGTACCTACACAAAAAAGTTCGATATCTGGGTGCCTCGCGAACTTACTGAAAAAAACCTAATGAACCGTGTACTCATTTGTGATTCTTTATTACGACGTACTGAAAACGAACCATTTTTGAAGAAGCTGATGACTGGTGATGAAAAGCGGATCACGTACGACAAGAACGTGCGAAAAAGATCGTGGTCAAAGCCCGGTCAGGCTTCACAGACTCTGGCGAAACCCGGGTTAATTCGCAACAAGGCGATGCTGTGTGTATGGTGAGATTGGAAGGGCATTGTTCATTATGAGCTGTTACCACCAGGCAGGACCATCGATTCTGAAGTCTACTGCGAACAACTGATGAGATTAAAACAAGAAGTGTAGAGATAGCGGCCGGAAAACATCAACACAAGGGGTGTGGTTTTTCATCATGATAACGCTAGACCTCACACATATTTAGCCACTCAACAAAAATTAAGACTGACTAGGAGGTATTAATGCAACCGCCGTATAGTCCTGACATTGCACCTTCAGAGTTCTACCTGTTTCAGTCTCAACAGAATCCTTTAGGCAGTATCAGGTTAACATCACGAGAGGACTGCCAAAACCACTTATCGCGGTTTTTGATCAGAAGCCCCAAAATTTCTATAGCAATGGGATTCTGTCCCTACCTACAAGATTGCAAAAACTTATCGATCAAAATGGCACCTACATACTTTAATTAAATGTAAATAAAGTTTTTTTTTAAATGTTTTGAATTTTCATAAAATGCGAAGAAACTTTTTCCCCAACCTATTTTTATATGGTGGGATTGGAAGGGCATTATTCATTAAGAGCTGTTACCGCCAGGCAGGACTACGATTCTGAACTCTACTACGAAGAACTGATTAGATTAAAGCAAGAAGTTAAGAGAAAGCGGCCGGAATTAATCAACAAGTGGTGTGGTTTTTCATCATGATAACGCTTGACCTCACACATCTTTAACCACCAAAAATTAAGAGGGTTTGACTGGGAGGTGTTAATACATCCGCTATATAGTCCTGATCTTGCACCTTCAGATTTCCACCTGTTTCGGTCTCTTCAGATTTCTTTAGGCAGTGTCAGTTTAACATCACGAGAGGACTGCCAAAACCACTTGCTTTTTGATCAAAAGCCCCAAAATATCTATAGCAATGGTATCATATCGCTACATACAAGATTGCAAAAAGTTATCGAACAAAATCCCACCTTAATACTTTAGTAAAATGTAAATTCAAAAATGTTTTGGATTTTCATATAAAATGCGAAGAATCTTTTTCCCCAACCTAATATTTTTGTATGATGCACCGGGCGCCTTATGGAGGGAGTACTTCGATTACCGGATTCTATTTTTCATTGTTGCTAATGACTTGAGATGTCACATTGGCAATATTCTTTCGCTTTGAAGTAAAAGTTGATTACTCCCCTGTTCTCTATGTGTATTGAATACTGGCAAGGATATAAAGTCGAACCACGATAACTTTGCAGAGTCAATAATCTCATCACACTGGAAAAACTTGATCTGGTAACCCTTTTAAGAAGTCATTCAAAAATGTCATGAAAAGCAAGAATCATTCGTTTGAAGAAAATAAATTTGGAGTCGGAGAAGTTATTTATCAAATAATAAGTTATAATAAATCTGCAAAAGATCAAATGGAGTCGGTTCTTATGAAAAAGGAGCAATGTTATGAAGATACTTAATCTCAACGAGTGAGTTGCAATTAAATTATTGATACTAGTTTGTTTCTGTATTTGTTTTTTTTATTTACATTTCAACAGTTACATTCACATAAAGTTAGATAATAAACTATTGTTTTAATTGTGGATGAACATTAGTTTCGTAGCATTTATTTTATAAAAAATAAGTTCATACAACATATTAATTTATAGTACAAATTGTATTCCCAACTTTTTTGCATTACAGTAATTGAAAAATTGTGTTTTCTTATTGATACTTTAACTACAGATGATCATATAATAATAAGAAATGCTTTGCAGAGTTGACCATATAAGAAAAAGAAATGAGTTGAGTATAAACTCAAAGGGAGATTTATTGAAAATGTTGAAGGAGAGGTTGAACATCAAGAAGTAGTCAAAAAAAAAGTTAAC